CACACGTATGTATGTTTGTTACTTTTCGAGATGAGATATTCTCACGCCAATAGGATTGTGAGATGACCTTACTTGATTTGGATGCAAGTTCAAACTTAATAATTCGTTATGCTTGCAACACAACTGTGAAATTCACAGTGGTTGCATTTCCCTTCCTCACTAGGAAAACACTGCTGGTGATCAGAAGTCCAGAAGAAGGACCCAGTTGCCTTTTGAAGGTCTCTCTATTTTTAAAATAGTTTTACTGTTTTCACAGAACAAAGAACACAATGAAGGGAAAACACCTAAGGAAAGAAATAACCCCCCATACCTTAACACACCCACCCCCGGTCAGATCAGTCATTAAAGCAAGAACAAATAAAACCAACCTAGGGTGCTATTCCACATGCAACCATGAGAGCTAGGTGGACAAAAATATTTTTTCCTTAGTGGCAACAGAATAAAGCCTGACCAAGTTGCACAAAGTGGGCCATGTCGATAACTTTCTAATAATTGTCAGTGTCAAGAAAAGAGAGAATAGTTGTTCCCATATCCACCAGTGCAGGAGTGGGGATCTTGTGGTCCTCCATGTTGCTGGACTAGGGGACACGGGTGGCGCTGTGGGTAAAACCTCAGCGCCTAGGACTTGCCGATCGCATGGTCAGCGGTTCGAATCCCCGCAGCGGGGTGCACTCCCGTCGTTCGGTCCCAGCGCCTGCCAACCTAGCAGTTCGAAAGCACCTCTGGGTGCAAGTAGATAAATAGGGACCGCTTACCAGCGGGAAGGTAAACGGCGTTTCCGTGTGCGGCTCTGGCTCGCCAGATGCAGCTTGTCACGCTGGCCACGTGACCCGGAAGTGTCTGCGGACAGCGCTGGCTCCCGGCCTATAGAGTGAGATGAGCGCACAACCCTAGAGTCTGGCAAGACTGGCCCGTAAGGGCAGGGGTACCTTTACCTTTACCTTTATGTTGCTGGACTACAGTTCCCATCATCCCTGATGGTTTAACTGTGCTACCTTAGGTTGATGGGAGTTGGAGTCCACGACATTTGAAGGATAATGGGTTCCCTATTTCTGCACAAATGAGAAAATAAACAATGAGTTTATAAACTTAGAGGTAGATTTCTATCAAACGGTGAAGCTGTAATTTGTGCCCACTTCTCTGGGAAGAATCCCCACTGATCACAGTGAGATTTACCTTCAAGTAACCATGCACAGGATAGGGCTGCATGAACATTTTCTTAATTTAGCCAAACAACATGCTGTCAGAGGCTCTTGCTTACTTGAGGACAACTTTCATTGAACTTAATGCATAAGATCAGTCTGCAATGAAGCCCCAGACTCAGGCACCTTCCTTGGAGATTTTCAAAGTCTAAACAGGTCTAGTACATTTTGTAGTGCTTCAAAACCTGTTTGACCAGAGCCCATGGCAGGATAAGGGGAAGTGACATATATACAACAGGCAACATATCACTGCAACGTTTCTGAAAACTATCACCTGCAAACGGAACAGGACAGTTTAAGCAGGGCTGCAAATTGATAATGCAACCAGACATAGCGCATTACACATTTTCTGTGTTCCAGTTGGACCCAAATCTCAAGATCAAATCTGCAACAGAGAGAGAGAGAGATCTAAACATATTGTTGAGATCTGTGGAAGTATCACAGTGATGTCAGTGCTGGGCTGAACAGCACCACACTACCTCTGGGTTTGGCAGGGGGCTAGGGAAGATTAGGAACAAGAGAAAGCACAATTCTTCCTTTTGGCAGCTGAAGGTGGAAATAAATGTGCGTATAAATGAAGTAAAGTAGCCTTTGAGCCTCTTCTTCAGTATTTAGTTTAATGTTTGATCATTGTTACCAATGTCTATCGCCTGCCAACCTAGCAGTTCGAAAGCACCCCCGGGTGCAAGTAGATAAATAGGGACCGCTTACTAGCGGGAAGGTAAACGGCGTTCCGTGTGCTGCGCTGGCTCGCCAGATGCAGCTTGTCACGCTGGCCACGTGACCCGGAAGTGTCTCCGGACAGCGCTGGCCCCCGGCCTATAGAGTGAGATGGGCGCACAACCCTAGAGTCTGTCAAGACTGGCCCGTACGGGCAGGGGTACCTTTACCTTTTACCTTTACCAATGTCTATTTCATCTTTTATGTTAATACAAATCAGCATTCTGCCCAATAGGGTTTTGTATTTATGTTGAGAAACTATTGAAGCCAAGGGCATGTGTGTCACACAGCTCAATCACAAATACTCATGTCACTTCCTCCAATAGTATGTACTTTTTAGTAGTTAGGACTGCAATCTTAAATATTTTCTGTTCTGGCAGAAGGCTGAATTAGGAGATTAAGGGGGGTTACAGTCCCTCCATCGGCTATGATGCTACAATAATTTTAATGTTTTACCCCTTCATATCTTTTCCAGCATCTGCATTTAAAGGAGTGAATCCAAAATATGGTTTTAAACAGATTAGATCAGATCAAGCGTGCTTAAAACCCTGCAATTTAAAAGGAGAGTTATATGATTCATTAATAAATGCAAGAGGGTAAGATGTCATCATTAAGATAAACAGTGTGTAAAGGTTTCATAACTTTTGAAAGTAAACAACTAAATCCCTCTGCAATCCACCTTTCAGTTCTTCGTAACATAGTGTTATGAGTGGGTGTTGAAATCTGATCAAGCCTTCTAATCCCTAGATTCAGCAAGGGTTAAAATATAAGCCAGGCTACCTTCTTTAATTGAGGTGATCACCTGGGTGAAAAGCTAATAAGAGAGCAAAGAAAAGGGGGCTCTGTGCCATATAATGAAAGGGTGGGTCCCATCCTCCAGCTTTTTGATAATTAGAAGAACAACTATTGAGTCTGAGAGCAGAGTTTGCTGTGATGTGACCTAGAGGGGAAAAGCTGCAGGCTGAAAAGATGGAGAGTGAGCTATGGCTGTTTTCTGCTTGAATTCAAGGCTGCTGCTATGGGAGTTAATGCTGTGAACCCCTCCATCATAGGCTCAGGTTGTATATGTGTATAAATAAACCACATATCCTAAAGACACCACAGTCTCTGCTGTGCCTCATTTCCAATAGGGACCCCTGGAATCTCGCCCTACTTTGAGATTGCAGTGGCTTGCAACAATATGTTTGTGCATGTTGTACTTCTGTTGAGAAACAACTTATTTAAAAACCCAGTCACTGCTCTCCTTCTGAGAAATGTGGGAGAACCCGTCTGCCCAGAGAATCCAGCGAAAAATGCCCACTACAAGCAGGACCTGAAACAACTGCCTTCTTTGTAATGGCCATCAGGATTGTAAATCTGGAATGCAGTTCAGCTTGTTAGGAATCCTACTCCGAATGGTGTTGACTGTCAAGTTTTGCCTGTGACATTTTTCTTAAGATATTTGCTTGATCGTATTTAAAATAAATGTATTGCTACAATGAAAATGGCCATTGTACAGTTCTCTTTTATGCTCCAGCAATACATGCCCACATAAAGGTCACTTCTTCTTTTTTTGGTAAAGGCTGTTATTCAGGCTTTGTTAACAATGCAGTTCTTCAGAGCTAATCTGGGTAGTGCTTTCTGGTTCTGTTTTTATTATATGGCAGCAAAATGTCTGTCATTATGATGGGCAGATGGTGTGCACAGAGAAGGGCTTCAGTGGTGCTGTCAGGGCAGAAATCCAGAGCCCCACTCGGTTGAATGAGCAGGAGGGTCCCCCAAATGCAACAGGGATGTCTTGACACAGTTTGGACTAGGCGAAGTAATGCAAATTTTCATCTGTTATTATTGACTGGATTTCCTGCCTGTCCTTGACCACAAAAAGATCCCTGTGAAGGGTTACAGCAGTATAAAAATACAACATTAAAGTCAGTTTAAAAAAAAACCATCAGAAGAATAGAATGGATCCTAACAATATAAATCTCAGGTGCCAAAGGCTAGGGTAAAGAGGTACAGTATTTTTTGCTCTATAAAATGCACCAGACCACAAGACGCACATAGTTTTTGGAGGAGGAAAACAACCAAAAAAAAATATTATGAATCTCAGAAGCCAGAACAGCAAGAAGGATCGCTGCGCAGTGAAAGCAGCAATCCCTCTTGCTGTTCTGGCTTCTGGGATAGCTGCACAGCCTGCATCCGCTCCATAAGACGCACACACATTTCCCCTTACTTTTTAGAAGGGAAAAAGTGTGTCTTATAGAGCAAAAAATACGGTAATCGAGGAACATCCACAATGAAGGTAAACCGTCTTGAAGTCATTAAGTCGAGAATCTAAAACTGCATAACTGCACTGCTGGATGGCTTTCACATTGCAAGGACCCTTAGAGAGTGCTGTGGATCTGTTCATGGGCACACTGTACCCCCTTATTCAGGATCCTGCCCACACCCCTCTCCATGACTGGAACAGAAAACGGTTTTTGTACTTGCTTCAATGTGTCCCAAAGTGGAGCACTTTACCTTTCTCCATAGGAAACTTCACTTATATGGGAGGAGTTAAGAGTGTGCACTGGAACTATGCCAGATATCAGCATCCAGCACCGTGCAGCAACTGTTGATGCCCTAGAAAATCAGCAGATCTCACCTGTACTGATGTATTCTAGTCCTCCTATATTAGGATTTCAGAACTGCTGTTTCAGTTTTCTACAAGGTCCCCAACATAGTATTGTTCCAGAGCACTCTGGGGAATTATAAATGGTGATTCTAGTACAGCCTGGAGAAACTGGTCTGAAATAACCCATTCACGTGCATGTTTCCACATTAGAGTCTGTCTCTATGGTATAGTGGCAAAGCAGAATGGATTGGGTAATGTTCACGTGTGACAAAGTCACCATTGTACTCAGATTACAAATGCAGCTGGCTGGTATGTTGGAAATAGAATGCTAGATAAGATTAACCTTTGGTCAGATCCAGCAAGACACTTCTTATGTACTGACGCCAACTGCACCACCTCCCATAAATAATTTCTTCACCACATTCTATTCCTGAAGAAAGCACCAGCATGAACTGTCTACTCAACCACACTTTCTCAATTCTTAACAGAAGCAAGGGGAAGGAATACAGTCCTATCCCGCTGGACAAGAGAAGAAAGAGATATTGTCTAAAACATCACACATCCTTATCAGCCTATTGCATGTGTGAAGAATGAGAAGGAGGGCTATGATGGTACTCCAGAACGTCTTCTCAAAGACCCTCCTGGGGCATAGAAAGGACTCACTGATTCTGTTGTGGCTGTGCAACAGTCTCCAGCAGCTATACAGATTGCAAGGGAGGAGAGTCTGACATAAAGGTTTGTGATGTATTCCCACTCATTTAAGGATCTCCTAGTACACATGGTACTCCCCTCCTCAGTTTATCCTCGAAACCAGCCTGCAAGGTAGCTTAGGGAGGGAGATAGTGACTTGGCCAACCAAGGTCATTCTAACCACTGCTCTCACCAATGTAGTCATTGCCTTCTAGTGGTACCCATTTAGCCTTTATAGTGCCAAACAGCGGGATGTTTGTGGCGCTCCCAGACAGAAGCAAGACGATGGCAGGGCAGGTTGTGGCCATGCAACTCTGTCTCTTTTCCACCTCTCTGAATGTTGTGACCCACTGCTGCTCTCTGGACTAACTCTGAGAATCATTTCCTCTTCCAGCTGGGTGTCGAAGGAGCACCTTCACCTCTATTGCCCTATTTGCTTGTTATGTTTGGCGGACAATGCATTCTTGGTAGTCAACAAATTTGGTGAGGGGTAGAGCCTTTTCTAGGGTGGCAAGATTTTATAGAACACCTCTCTTCAGCTCAAGCAAGTGCTATCATTGTTGACTCACTAAAACAAGGCTGGGGAACTTTTGACCCTCCAGATGTTGCCAAACTACAACTCCTACCAGCCCCAGCAAATATGGCATATAGCCGGGGACGATAGGAGTAATATTGGGAGCAACAAAGATTCCCCATACCTGTGCTAAAGTAGGTTCCTATGTTTGTAGACCATTCTTCGTCTTTATTCACAGCAGGCTGTTATGTTTCAACTCTGTCCTGTTACCAGCTTTATTATCATTTTTATCTGTATTGATTTAAAGGTGGGTAAAGGTAAAGGGACCCCTGACCATTAGGTCCAGTCGTGACCAACTCTGGGGTTGCGGCGCTCATCTCGCTTTATTGGCCAAGGGAGCCGGCGTACAGCTTCCGGGTCATGTGGCCAGCATGACTAAGCCGCTTCTGGCAAATCAGCAGTGCACGGAAATGCCGTTTACCTTCCCGTCGGAGCGGTACCTATTTATCTACTTGCACTATGACGTGCTTTCGAACTGCTAGGTTGGCAGGAGCAGGGACCGAGCAACGGGAGCTCACCCTGTCGCGGGGATTCGAACCACTGACCTTCTGATCGGCAAATCCTAGGCTTTGTGGTTTAACCCACAGCGCCACCCAGTATGTTAAACAATTGGCTGTGCATTGCTTCCAGACTGATGTGCTCTGGGTGGTATAGAAATGTTTTAATAAATAAAAATGTTTCCAGGTGAGTGTGCAAAACGTTCTTTTCCGAACAGAAACAAGTAGGTAAAACACTGGGCCTTATTAGCTCAGCTCTTTGGTACTTGAGGAAATTAAAAATGGTGGTAGCGGCAAGCCCAATTCCATGGGCTTGGGGGGCGGGAATAACGGGAGGTCCAGACCACACCCAGACCCCATCTTCTCTATACGTTTAAAGCAGAACCGTCTTAAACAGTCTTGACTCCCCCACTTCAAGAATCCTGGGAACTGTAGTTTGTTCAGTGTGCTGAGAGTTATTAGGAGACACTCGCATGTTGCCCATTCCTCTCACAGAGCGACAGCTTCCAGAGTTCCCCAAGAGGGGAAGCCCTTTGAAAACTGTAGCTCTGTGGGAGAATGTAGGTCTCCTAATAATAATAATAATAATAATAATATTTTTTATTTATACCCTGCCCTCCCCAGCCAAGGCTGGGCTCAGGGCGGCTAACAAGCAATAATAAAAACAAGTTGAATGAATACAACTTAAAAACAAGATTAAAATACAACATTAAAATATTGAAACATTAAAATATTAAAATGCAGCCTCATCACAGGAGGAGAAAAGAAAAAGGAAAAAGAAAGAGGGGGAAGGAATCAAATTGGCTCCAAGCCAAAGGCCAGGTGGTACAACTCTGTCTAACAGGCCCTGCGGAAAGAAATCAGATCCTGCAGGGCCCTGGTCTCATGAGGCAGAGCGTTCCACCAGGCCGGAGCCAGTGTTGAAAAGGCCCTGGCTCTGGTTGAGGCTAATCTAACTTCCTTAGGGCCCAGGACCTCTAGGGTGTTGCTATATATGGACCGTTAAGGTCCTCTGTGGGGCATACCAGGAGAGGCGGTCCCGTAGGTACAAGGGTCCTAGGCTGTGAAGGGCTTTCAAGGTCAAAACCAGCACCTTAAATCTGACCCTGTACCCCACCGGGAGCCAGTGCAGCTGGAAAAGCACTGGGTGAATATGCTCCCATGGCAGAGACCCCGTGAGGAGCCTCACTGCAGCATTCTGCACCCACTGGAGTTTCTGGGACAGCTTCAAGGGCAGCCCTGCGTAGAGCGAATTACAGTAGTCAAGCCTGGAGGTGACCGTCGCATGGATCACTGTGGCCAGGTCAGGCCACATATACTAATAGCTGCCACAACATTAACAGATGATGCTTCCCAGGATTCTTTGGGTGTAAGCTTTGACTATTTAATGTGGAAAGACACTGCTTTAATAGTATAGGGCAGACAGGGCTCTGGCACCAGCCCTGCTTGTCTACTTCTGAGATCACAGTTGTGGGTCTAGGAAGGTTTATACTGGGAGGGGTGATGCGATAAACCATCATGCACAGTGCAACCTTTTTTTGGAGGTGAAAGTTTTAGAGACAACACTTTGCACTAGGGATCAGGCAGGGCAGAAATGTCAGCTGTACTGCTACATAAGCAGGACCTAACCCTTCAGTGGGGTTTGCCTTCCAGTTTCTGATCCCTGTTTATCTCACTTCATCTACGACAACTTGGTCTCTATTACAGTGCTGCAATTCCTCTGCCAAAAGGTGTAGGAGGACTGCATAGATTCCTACTTGGCAGGGTCAGATTCCAGACAAGCCTCTGAATGCTGTTTAGTAGCTCACAGCAGCAGCTATGGAATGGGGATGAAGGCAGCGAAGGACAATGTGAAGATTAGAGTTGCAACCCTTAACACACTTAATAGAGACTCAGTCCCATCAAGTTTCATGGGACTTACTTTGGCCTAAACAAACTGAGGAAATTGCACCACAGGTAGGGCAGGATAGCAAACTGATGGCACAGAGGCTCAACCAAGTCACCAAGACAAATTTGAACACACTGGGCCCTCGCCAGATTTTTAAGTATGTCATATTCATCCAGAGCAACAATATTATTGTTTATGGCATCATAGGGTTCTTTGGGAATAACTTAACATACATAAATTGTCCATGGACTCTCTTGGTGTTCATGTATGCATTCTGCTCATCAAGTTTATTATATACTACATGGTAAAATAGGCCAACACATGCTTTTTAAAAAGCTTCAAAGCCAAAAAGTATTGCAGCTTTTTGCCCACCGAATACTGCTTTATATGAAAGCCCAGCTACATCAGTGCTATGTTGCTAACCAAAGGACATCATAAAGCATGCTGCTCCTCTGCAGCCAATCAATTTGTTGGGTGTTATATTGGAGTGGATGAAGTGAATATTGTTTCATTATAGTGGACAGACAAAGAATGAGAAATCCCTTACCTTCTGAATTTTATTTCTCCCTCTTTTTAACCCCTATTTCTCTCTCTCTCTCTCTCTCTCCCTCCCTCTCTCTCTCTCTCCCTCCCTCCCCTCCTTTGTTTCCATTGCATTTAGAACCAAGTCTTAGTTAGTCTGGGCAAAAAACAACAATATTTGATATTAAGTTTTGTACTTTTCTCTGTAAGCCCTAATAAAATGTATTCAAAACACAACCAATATATTTGTCACACTCCAGAAAAATGTTCAATTTTGCCCTGCCCCTTCAATGAGAGCACATCTTTGGGAATTATAGTAAAAGCCACAAAATTACAGTTTGTAGCTAGAGCTGTTCAGCTGCCACAACTCTACTGGAGTTGGGGAGTGGGGAGAAACCAATAAACCTAATTTGGTTATATCAATTACTTTCAATTGGTCTACTCTGAGTAACTTAGTGAAATTCCACCTTGCGGTGGAAAAAGTAAAAATTGTAGAGTTTTGCAAATTATGAACATTGGTTGCACAATTTATAAAAAGGCACATAATTTGGACTGCACTGGCGCTGAATTCTTATCCTGTAATTTACCGTGAACCCTGGCTATAGAATGGGTAGGACACCTGCCACACCCACCCATCTCTCTCTATACATACGGTACATACATACATACATACATACATACATACGAGACTATAGTTCCCATCATGGATTCCATGGTGACAAAGGCTGATACAGGAGATACCAGCATCTTAGGGAGCTGCCTTATACAAGATTAGACCATCATTCTATCTAACTTGATATTAGCAATACATCTCCACAATTTTTAGATGGGTCTTTCTCAGTCCTTTAGAGAGATGAACTTGGGACCTTTTACATGCTATTGTTTCAAAGGATGTCAGTGTTCCTTATTTTTTTGTATAGAAAGCTCCTTGCTATACGCTATGAAAGAAAGCTAACCATCTGATTTCAGACATCTATTTTGGCTCCTACCTTAAAATGACAAGCCATTTCCCAGATTTGCGTAATGTTTAATGGAAGGAGGTGGGGAATCCATTTGGATACACAGTACGTTAATTCAGCCCTGGACAATAAAATTCTCATTGTTTAAATCTCAAGTAAAAAACAAACAAACAACCCCACAGTTATCTATGTGGGCTTTTTTTTTAAGAGTGGGGAGGAGACACTCACATTGCGATTGTGTTCCAGGTACCATTGTCTGAAACCTATGCTGTGATGCACAGCACACAAGGGATTGTTAAGGCATCTTTAGAATATACTTTCAGTTCATGTGGAACAACAATACCTCTTAAGAGCTTGATGTGCACTAGAACGTATTTCAGAATGCTCTGCAACATGCAGGATTTCCATGGCAGAAGTTTAAAAGCTATTGGCCTAGGGATTGAATGCACTACTATATAGTGTGTTATACAAGCAGTAAATTATTTGGTCCTGCTCACATACCCGATAGCACGTGAAGGCACCAGTGAGCTTCTAGCCAGCATCATGCGGAGGCAACACTCAAACGCAACAGTGCCTCTACATGGCAGCTGTACACATGGCCACTGCAATTTTCAAGACTGCGGTGGCTAAAAAAAACAAAACCAACAAGGGACATCATTGCAAAAAAATTAAAAAATCTTGGTAGGCATATCACCTGTAGTGCTCCTCCTCTCAGAGACATCGGGTTATAAAACATACTTTGCTTGATCCAGCATGTTCTCAAAAGGGATGCCATGTGAGGGTGGAAGGGAAAGTTCACAAGACATCTAAAATATATGAACCAGGATTATTCCTTTCACCAGTGCTGCTAGTACAAAGGTAAGACAAGGATACAGAATGGGAAGCAGCTGCAGGACATGGAAGAGGAGGAGACTCATGGGCAGGCAGGACAAAAACTCCATCTTTGGACACACTCTGCGGGCTTTCAGAAATATTCCCACAACCACATCCCCTCAATTCTAGGAATTTACTATGAAAAGAACAAAAAGCCGACCAACACTCATTTTCAAAGTTTTACTTCTGTTAACCATATTCTATCAGATTCCATATGGAAACCTAACAGTCTCAGCTGCAATAATGCTTTGAAATACCCTCTACTGCTTCCTATTGGCAGACTGTGAAAGAACTGTCTGTAGTTCACCTGCCACTTCAGAAATCCTCATTTGAAAAGACCAATTTTGACTCCATAGCCATCAGGTATGACTCCTGAATGCTGGTCTTAAGTTTTTATTTAGTTTCTCCCCCTTTTCTTTTAAAAAGAGTAAAACCACAAACTTCCATTTGGCACCACTCGTCTGTGCAATCCCATCAACCACAGCCCATGTTTATCTAAATCCAAGATTTAAAAATCCAGTTCTGCGATGTGCCAAAACAACAGTGGCTAGGACACTCTTAAGAAAGGGTTGTACATTAGCAAACAGTTAAATTGGTAATGCTTGATCAGTAGCGTTTGCATATAAATACCAAAGAGTAATACTTAAACACACGTGCAAAATTTAAGTTAATAGGTGCAGCCTGCTAAAATGTTGCACAATTAGCTAATCACATTAGATAATTAAGTGCATCCCACAGGTTCGCAACCCAATGTGGACATTTCCCACCTCCCTTTCAGTTTCAGAGCTAATATGGTTAAGATTACATCTGCACTTGTATTTTCATTAACTAAATTTAGTTCAGCCAGTCTACAAACCCATTCTAACTCCAGCTGTAAAATGTGGTTTGACACTAACTATGGTTAGCAAGAACATTCTTTGAAACTGAAAGGGAAGATTCCAGTGGAGTGCTCTTAACTGACTAGCCACGGAGCAGGCAGTAATAGGCTTGCACTAAAAAAATGTGGCATGTGTAGAAGTTTCACATAAGCCCCTTTGACAGATTGCAGTTGTTTAGCAGCACAGCTTCGTAGATGGTGCCCCTGACCTTCAGAGTGTTTTTCAAAATACAGGCAGAAGGCAACAACACTCTCCCTGTATCTCTTAAACACAAGCCAGCCACATAATGAAAAACACATCAAGAAACAAAAACTCTACAATTTCTGAACTGCACTGTTTATTTTTGCTGCTTGAAACCTAAGTGACAGTATGCCACCATAATTACGGGGTTTCTTCTAAACCTTTACTACACTGCAGGTACAGAAATATACGGACACATTTTTGGAGAATTGACATTTTGCAAAATGCAGCAAACATTTTGATTTATACATGAGAAAAAGGAAGTGTTCAAAAGGGTATGCATTTCAAGTTATTGCAGGTTATTTTTTTTTTGTGAGATTTCTTTTTTTTGCAGGTAAAATATGTTTAAATTTAAACCAACAGGAACGTGTCAGTGTATTTAAAATCATGACAAACAAAACCTTCGCTCTGGTCATTAGTTGCCCCTTGACAAATTATTAGGGTGTTGCATGGTGAGGGCAAGATGTCAACACAGCATAAATCCCGTGGCATTTGGTTTTCTTCTGGAGATTAAAGCTGTTTTTCTTGGGATAAATGCAGCAGCAAAACACAAACCAGCTGATCAAAAAAGCACTTCTGCCATTAACTCCAATAATTTCAGGGCACACCAACCGACAGTAGTTTTGCCATTCCCAGTTTTTAAGGTTTACATCACTGCGCTGTGGCCTTAAGTACATTTTGTAATTGCCTGTTGTTGGTTAAGCCAGCTTGCTGACTACGGCCTGATTGAGAGAATTTAGTTGGTTGGTCCATTTATCTAACGCAGTATACCGTGCTCCACCCCTCTTCTGATGATCCAGCTCAAGGAGTTGATTGACTTGATCAATTCGGCCATGAATAGTGCTAAAGCAAGAGACAAAACAAGAAAGTGTTAAAGTGCGTCCTACAACATAGGTAATACAGGTTGGTGCAAAGTTATGAATGTTCCAGACAACACAAGCTGATGCAAATTATGAGTGTTTCCACTCATGGCCAGGAGGTCAAGAGCACAACAAGGGGCTCACAGCGTCCTTCCTGACATCTCCAGTTCCCTCGACTCCTCTTTCTGTAGAGGAATTATATTAATGCTACAAACTAAAGTTTGCAAACTAACTATGGTTAATAGTCCGTGGTTCAGATTAACTCTGGTGAGGGTCAAAAAGAGAAGGGTGGGATTAACAAGGCATGTGCAAGTCCATGGGACACTCCCATTTATTTACTGAATTTACTGAATATGAGGATATTTTTATTATTTATTTCATAAAATTTATACACTGATTATTATTTTTAAAAAACAAAAACCTTATAGCTGTTTCCTAAAACATAAAAAAATTACAACAGTACTTTAAAACATGCAAAAGTTAAAATACTTAAACAGATTATAATTACCTCAACTTCCTAAGCATCTGAATAGGCTTGTCTAAATAAAAATGTTTTTAAAGGTAAAGGTACCCCTGATCATTAGGTCCAGTCGTGGACGACTCTGGGGTTGTGGCACTCATCTCACTTTATAGGCCGAGGGAGCTGGCGTTTGTCCGCAGACAGCTTCCGGGTCATGTGGCCAGCATGACTAAGCCGCTTCTGGTGAACCAGAGCAGCGCATGGAAACGCCGTTCACCTTCCCGCTGGAGCAGTACCTATTTATCTACTTGCACTTTTGAACTGCTAGGTGGGCAGGAGCTGGGACCGAACAACGGGAGCTCACCCCGTTGCAGGGATTCGAACCGCTGGCCTTCTGATCGACAAGCCCTAGGCTCTGTGGTTTAGACCACAGCGCCACCCGCCTCCCTAAAAATGTTTTTAGCAAGCACCAAAAAGGGTGGGAGCAGGGGGAGGTAAGGATCTGGCCCAATCCAGTTCCCCACCCCTGCTATAAATAAACATTTAAAAAACATTCAGTACTTGAAAAGAAGAAAATACTCACTTATCCAGTATACACTGCACAAGCAAGCTCTCCACATCAGCTACATCTATGTTTAACTCCTAAGGGAGAAAAGAGGTATTAAATATCAATGTAGCTTTGGGTAGTAAGCAATTTTTTTCTTTATCTAGGAAAGCAAGGGTGAAGTTAAACATATAACGCCAATACCAGTATGATCACTGGGAAAGGAAGGATTAGCAGATGAAAGCCTTTAGGGTCAGCCTTGCAGGTTGTTGCTGGCAGTGCACTTATAGCTCAATACTATAAACCAGTCTTCCCAACCTTGTGACCTCAAGAAGTTTGGACTGTTGTATTGTAACTTTTGAATAAATGTTTTTTTAAAGAATTTTTTTTTAAAAGATGCTTGGACTATAATTCCAGCACCCTGACACCTGGCTGTGCTATCTGGGGTTTAAATCCCGCAACATTTGGAGCACACCAGGTTGAGGAAAGATACAAGTTGCAGTGGGTATATATGGCAGTCAAGGAAAGGGTAGGTAAGTTTTAACACAAACAGCAGAACCAGTTATAGTTATCTTGACTTTGCTTGCAATAGTAAAACCTATGTACAGGTCAGGCTGTTGAGAGAGGGACAGGGGCCAGGTTCAGATGTAATGCAAAATTGTGTTTTGTTTTTTAGCTATACATTTTAAAATGTATCTAAGCCAAAGAGTTTGAAGCTGAACTGCAAACCATGGTTTTCCAAACTACTGACACCAATTATGACCAAGCGGCTGCTGCAGCATGGAGACTGGAGTGAAACCAATGAAGCTGAATTCTGAGCAGAAAGAAGGAAGGAAAGCCACTCTATACTGTTACACCTTGGTTCTCAAACGCCTTGATACTCATACTTTTTGGCTCCCGAACGCTGAAAACCCAGAAGTGTTCCGGTTTTCAAACTTTTTTCAGAAGCCAAATATCCGACACAGCTTCCACTTGAATGCAGGAAGCTCCTGCAGCCAATCGGAAGCCGCACCTTGGTTTTTGAACGTTTTGGATGTTGAACGGACTTCCGGAACGGATTACGTTTGAGAACGAAGGTAGAACTGTACCATTGTTTTTATTGTTGCACATCTGGAAGTTCCAATAATGGCATGGACTTTTAACTAGCTAGCATAAACCATGGCTTTGCCTTTACATTTTTTAAAAAAGCCAATGAAAACTGAATTCTGTAATAAATTGTGCAAATAACCATATCTGCCTAATTAATTTTGATTTTGCCAGCTCAACTGAAGAACAAGTAGCTGTGCAGGCCTCTGTACCCACTGCAATTCCACTTCAGCCTCCTGTCTGGCTTTTGAGAAGTTAGAAGGCACTGACCACAGCTTTTCAAACTTTTCTTTCACAGATGTAGCTTCACAGGTTTGTGAGGAAGAGGAATGTGCATCCAACAGCAGTGTTGATCTCAAATTTGCCTCTCTCCCCCTCCATTTAGGAGTAGCAAATACAGAAAATCATTTGAGTTGGCAGTAGTTGACTGTTATTCACCAGACCCTCCCACTTTGATTTCTGTTCCTTTGAAAACTCTAGTTTGCTCCTGCTGCAAGTAACAACCATAATATCGGCAGGCAAGCATTTCACTCCAGAATGCCCTATTGAAACAAGTGCACATCATGATGTAGCATCATGCACCGTTGGGTGAAAGAGGGCAGTTGCTAGAGGTGGGAACTGTTAGAAAATCTGCTGCCATTGACATTTGTAGCAGTGGCAAGCCAAGAAAGAACAAACGTGTGTGTGTGTGTGTGTGTGTGTGTGTGTGTGTCACATCACTAATTGCAAGCCCTGCCGCCACAAATTAACAGAATTTTCTTCCCGCAGAAAACTGCAATCGGTTTTTGAGCCGCTCCTTTTGCTGACCCCCGCCTATAACATTTGAGCCAAAAAAATCATCTTATTGCAACCCAGTATCACAGCCTAAACTTATGCTGTGCTCCTCTTTGGATTTACAGCATCTCTCACAACCCTGGCATCTGGAAGGGAAGCAGCAAATGACAAGTTGGCCAGCTGTTAAAACCTCCAAGAGAAAAAAATATTGAGATGCAGTTTTTGTAAGCAGTTTTAAGTGTAATCCTCTGGAGACAGTGTGTTCAAATACCTTAGAAATAAAAGGAATATGTATTCTTGTGTAAGGCTTAATTAATTTTATAAGCACTTGTGTTCGGATGTTTCGCAAAAGTTCTGGAAAAGAACAAAAGCAAAGTAATTACAGTATGAATACAATGAAAGCACTTTAGATAAAAGCAAATGCATAGGTCCAATTTTATATCTAGCGATCACTACACTTTTACAGATGCATTAGACTGTATATCAAACCCTAAGAATTTACTCTTAAATGACATTTCCAGCTGGGAATTCGTGTGAAATTTAAATCAAACTAACAAATTATTCAACTGTATTTAAATGCTCCTAAGGCTTTCCCCCTAACTCAAATGGTAGCTCAGTTTGGAAACAAACTGGGCATCAACCTGTAGTAACTGAAAGTTTCCCAAGTAAATGTCACCAGGTTCAATTCCTGGCATCTTTAGTTAACAGCTACTCAAGACACACTGAGCTGAAAAGGATACTGATTGTTAGTATAGTTCATTAGAGGCCAGCGCTCCAATAGCAGGGGAATATAACATCACAACTGTAACACAAAGGTTGCCCTATACCTTTGGCTGCCCCATGATATATTGGATCAGGGGCGAGGAGGTTAGTCACACTTTATTTCCTCCCTGGGCCACCCCTCCCACTCATCCTTGAAAGCAGCCTTTCTCAAGCTTGGGTCCCCAGATGCTGTTGGACTACAACTCCCATCATTCCTGATGGCTAGGGATGATGGGAGTTGTAGTCTAACAACATCTGGGGACTCAAGGTTGAGAAAGGCTACTCTAAAGCTTCAGCAATGAATTATGTATGCTCCCTCTGCTCCATTCCAGCCAAGACTGCCCCCCTGCCCCAATCTTGTTTCTCTTGGCAACTGGGCAGATGTCTCCTGGATTTCCCAAGTTGGTGGTAAGGATCAGCGTATGTCCTGGTTTCCCTGGCAACCAGGTCCAATACACTCTAGAATAGCTAGTCTCGCAGATAATCAGGGAGACTCTTTCTGCTGTACCATCGTGAAGCTGCAATGTATGGTTCCTTCTCCCAACCCCAACACAGGTAAGCTACTTAGCGGCCAGTACAAATTGTTAATACTTAAAATCTATTTTTTTCTTCTTCCAGTCAAACTCCTGCCAATTTTTGTTTTGCAAAATCATTTTATTCAGCCTTATCTAGCACAAATTATTATTTCGGTTACACTTTTATCATGCTTTTGCTACAAAAGAAGGCTTTTTTTTTATACACTGTGGACATGGATGAGGAGCTCGGGCTGGCTAAAATCGCAAGACTTCTTCGCAGCTATACCTTCAATGTGTTCCCTTATGAAGGGATCGTCCATGATGTTACTGTGATTTGTCTTCAGAATCTTCTCAAATTCAGTGATGTCGTTATTCTGATAGGCACTTCAAGTGAGAAAGAGAGCATGTGCACTGTATTACAATTTAGTCAATTAGGAAAGAAAACAGATAACAGAATTTGATTGCTATGATCCAAACAGAGGCGAAAACAATATCTATAGTGAGCTTTACCCCCCAGTTTCTGAGGATCAACAGAAACTGAAGGTGAGTATTAAAATTGCTAAGTACTTCTCTTTCAGCAGCAGACCTCCATACCACTACAATAGAAACTACTTTTGGAAGTCCCCTGTTTCAAGAATGGCTTGCCATGTGGTATTAGGGGAGGATAGGGATTTGACAAACACACATTTTTTATTCTTTCATAGGGCCTGGGGTTAGCTGAATGGTTCTGTGGCTCCTGGCCTGTATGCAGAGAATAAGGATTTTAATATTCAGTGCAATCTCATTTACATCTGAGATTTGGTAAACTTTCTTCTGTTAAGGGTAATTTTGACACCAACTTTTGAGTTTGTTTCTACAGCTCACTAGATTATTTAGATTAAAATTTGCTTCTAGCTTTGCCCCTTAAGGGAAACTAGCTCTTACCTTACTAAATTTGTCATTGCTAGAATCTCTGGATCATTTTTGTATGGTTTTGCCTGAACAGGACAGAAACAACAATAAGCATATTTAGATACCAACTAAAAGGTTTATGCTAATTGCCTTCATACAAGCAGTAGGAAACTGACAACTGTACCTCCTGAGAGTCAAATGGGTTTATTCCAGACTTCATCAGCATGTTTGCTAGGACCAAATATTTTAAGCAAGTGGTTCTTCTTGGACTCCCTGATTCATCATAATTCTTGAATGCTTCAAAGAAATCAGTATGTGCCTTTTCAAATTCACCTTCTCTTAGGTGCATTTTACCACCACATTCTGAAAGAAAAACAAGCAGAGATCAATATTGTTGTCTTACAATTACCAGACATATTCCATCTAGCATGCTATGTTTTTTCAATATGGATACCAGCAGGACTTCTAGAAATGACCTTTTATTTTCTAATTCTGACAAAGGTCAAACACACCAAATAACAGAACTTCATTTTGTGATCTTCCAGATTGTACAACCTACTCCAAGCACGCATTCTAAAGAGAACAAAAGAAGGACACTGCCACCCTGGGGCAAAGATTCAACTGTTACATTAAAAAAAAAACCTACTATAAATACATTTGTTCAGATGGAACTATTCCAAATAGAAAACTTCAAATCACGGAAACATTATGTTGTGGAATATGCCTTGAGCAAACAATATGCTAGGATTTGCATCTACACACAAGGAAGTGATGCATTCCTACAAAAACATTATTTCCTGCATCATGTACAATCCATTAAAATCCTTTGCAATAAAAGCAGGCAAAAGATGCTCAGATTTTAACTACCTGACTTTATGCAATAGGAAAATACAGGATAAATGCAGTGAACTAACTAGACAAATTCTATGTGATCTGATAACGAAATGTAAACAGCACTTGCCTCTGATGACCCCCATGATCAGTGGATGGGGGATGGCAGACTTGATGTGCAATGACTGTTCATATAGTGCTTTAAGTTTTTTATTATTTTTCTGTGCTGTATACATTTGAATTTCCAAAGCATATATTTCCAATAGCTGGGTACCCTTCTTAAGGTCGTCTTCTCCATCATCAGTCTAACAAAAAGGAAGAAAGATGTGCACTGTAAATTGGGAAAGAAATTACGACTCTCTTCGCCATAAAAATCTTAACCTGCACTCTTAAATATAATCAGAACTTAAAGCATAATATTATTTCACATTCCATATAAGCTTTCCTGGGACAGAAAACTGAAGTAGTGTCTTGCATGGTTCAAAAAATCAACACACATTTTAAAAAAACCCTAATCTTACTAAAAGGACAGAAAAAATAGTCACCATTTGTTACTGATCATATTAGTTGAATGTAGATGCATAAAGCAAAAAATCAACACAATATGTAGCCTGTTACTGTTTTGCCAAACCATAACAATTACAAAACTAATTTATATTTCCATGTAAGTTGATATAGTGACTCAGGCTATTTAGGGCTTCTTTGATCATAACTAGTACCTTCGATGGGCTCCAAAAACACACTGGCAACCAATGCAAATGAAGAACTTATCAGAGTCCTGACATCGCCAGCAACAGAATTCGGAACTAGTAAATGCTTCTGGGTCATCTTCAAGGGCACTGCATACAGTGCATCTGAAAAACTAACTTGGTACACATCTCTGTAGCACATTCTTTTTCTATGCATCACTCACCAGAGACAGAAAAGGGATGATGCCTTGTATTGGGTATGGTCTTTATAGGACTTTAGATTTGTAGTGCTAAATATAGGACCTTAGTAGTGATACAATCACTGTGAAACATTTCTCC